TTTTTTTTTTTTTTTTTTTTTTTTTCCTTTTTTCGTGTCCGGCAATGGACCGCAACCCTCAGTGTCACGCCCATACCGGACTGGGACCGGCAATGGGATCACAACCCTCGGTGCCGCGCCCGCCCCTTGCTCAGCCAGTGAGCGGGAACCGGACTGTATGTGGGATCCGAACCCTCGGCGGGAGTGCCGCCGCGCTCGCAAGCGGCGCACTGAAGCAGTGCGCCACCGGGCCGGCCCAAGGAGTTTTTGACTCACAAGTTAGTTCACACTAAGCCTCTAACAATGCATCAAAATTACCAATTAAAAGTTCCTACCAGTTTGTGGCTTCAATGGTTTCTGCTTCAGGCAAGCTTATCTTGGCTATGATTTTCTATATTCACCTGTCTCTAGATAAGGGTGGCAGTTTCTTCTGTGTCCTCAGTTCTCTGATGAATCTAATCAAAGTTGGTGATTTTCAGTTTGAGTGTTTTTCTTGTTGTGAGAATTGGAGTGAAGGATCCCAAGCTCTTTACATGTCAGACCTAAAATAGAAAGTATCAATATCATTTGTGTACAATTCAGATCATCAACCGCAGATGTTAGAAACACTAAGATGCCCTTTGAAATTCCCTAGAGAAGACATCTTCACAGCTAGAATTAGCTTCATTATGGAGTCCATGAAGTCTGAAGGAAATTGGATCCAGAAAAGCCAAAGTGTAGATGTGACTGTGTGGCCTTGAGTGATTGAGTATGTCCAGGAGGAGAACTTGATTTTTAGAGTGATGTATGGTGTACCAGTATTTGTCAAACTGTGTCTTTGTTCTCTGGGGCTGTCGTAACAAAATACCACAGACTGAGTGGCTTAAACAACAGACATTTATTTCTCACAGTTCTAGAGGCTGGGAAGTCTAAGATCAAGGTATTGGCAGATTTGGTTCTTGGTGAAGGCCCTCTTTACTTATAGAATGGCTTTCATCCTGCTGTGTGCTCACATGGCCTTTTCTTGCTGGATGCCTGAGCACAGAGACCTCTCCTTCTTCCTTTTTTATAAGCGCACTAATCCTGTCATGAGGATCCCGCCCTCATGCCCTAATCTAAATTCAGTTGCCTCCCAAAGGCTCCATCTCCTAATTGAGGGTGAGGGCTTCAATATATGACCTTTGGAAGGGCAGATTCAGTCCATAATATGCTGTGTCATGGTGAGACTGCTAATGCTAGGTTTATTATTTTTTCACTGAACACCTACTACGTGCAAAGTCTTTTAGTCACTTAAAATAAAACCTTAAACAGGACTGAACCTGTGTGCCTTCACAGAACACTCATTCTAGTAGGGACAGACAAAATGGGGGGTGAGCATAGTAGATTGTATCAGAGAACTATAGGTGGTAGGCATGAAATAAAACAGATTACAGACACACACAAAGTCACAAATCACCAGTACACAAACCACGAGGAAAATCCAAGTTTCTTCATTTTTCTCCCATCCCGTAGGCTCCGCCCCCAATCACCCCTCACTAACCACGCCCACCCTCAGTCCTGAGAAAGCCACCGCGCCTCCCACAGCGTTCATATGCTGACTCAGTGCGCCTGCCGGACGCGCCTGTGAGCTTAGACCAAGTTCTCAGCCTGCGGGCCTGGGCGCTTCGACTGCGCACTGCGAACCTGGCTACGGCTCCCAAAAGCCCCCCTGGGCGCTATTCGCTCATGAGCATGACGTGTATTTCTGGGACCCAGATTCGGGGCTGAGAAGCTTCCAAAGGGCTTCGTTCCGGACCAGGAAACGCGATACCGGAGCAGAGGGCAGTTTCCACCGGTGCGAAGAGGAGCCGATCCTGGCGGTCTCGTCGCGCGACTGGGGAACGCGGCTGCCGCTGCGGACTACATTTCCCAGGGGCTGTTGCGGCGGGAGGACTTCCACTTCCGGCGGGGACTCGAAGTCGGGCGAGCGAGAGTCTGGCAGGGTTCCGAGGAGAGGCTGGGCGGGCTGGACCCGGGCCCCGGGGAGGCGCCGAGGGGCCAGAGTCCTCGTCCGAGCGGCGGGGTGGGTGGGACGGGCGAGAATGTGCGCGTGTAGCCCGGAGACTGTGTGACTGTTAGAGCGTGGTATGTGTGAGTGTGAGATGTGGGACTGATTGGGATGTCCGTGTGTGACTGGGGGGACTGTGTATGAGAGGAGGCTGGTGGGCCGGACCGGGAGGGGTGTGTGTGGCTGTGCGCGTCTCTGCGCTTGCGTGCACTTCCCAGCCGCATGGGAAGGACGGTGCGTATTGACATGAGCGAAGGATTTTAAGCGGCTGAGAGCTGGAAGCACCCCTTTCGCCCTCCTTCCCCTGTCCCCCAAGATCAACCACGCAGAGCCTAGTGTGGGCCAAAGGCCTGGAGTCCTGGGAAGGTGCCCAGGCAGGGGCTGCAGCTAAAACATTTCTTGCCCGCTCTATCTGGACAGGGCAGAGCTCGGGACATGTCCACAGGACAGCGAAGAGCAGAGACCATGGGGACTCCGGACAGAGGTAAGAGTGACAGATGGCTTGCGTGCAGCTGCAAGAGAGGAAATAGAGGTTTGGGGTTCTGTCCTTCGGGATCCAAGTGACGAAATGGAGCACTTTGGAGGAGGATGTCCCTGGCCTCCAAGGCTGGTGGACTTGCTAGTCCAAAGATTTGGAGGATCGCCTTGGGCCACAGTGTGGAGCTGGAATCAGGGAGGGACCTTGATTTGCCCAGAGTTACCTAACCAGACATATGCCCCCTTCCAGAACCTTGGGGTAGTTCCAAGGAACTAGAGGAGAGAACATTCTCCATTATAACGTTACCATTGGGTGTTCTGCTGCTGGTCAAGTAGGACTTCGGCATTTAGCTTTTTACCTGTCAGAGCCTTGTCCCATCTATCACCTTGGGATGGGAATTGTGAGGAAGGCAAGATTCACAGCATCATCTGGAAATGGTGAGAGATTCCAGCCTTTTCCATGGCTTAGTCACCCTCTACTCAGGGAAAGAAAATATTCCCATTCCTGGAACTTCTCTCTCCCCCCTATTTTGCTGCTCCTATACTCCCAGTATTTAAAGAGACAGGGAAAATAAATTCTGCTCATAGCCAAATTGTTCTTTGCTTGTTTTACTGCATGTGATAATAATAGCTAATGTTAATGGGTGTTTACTATGTGACAGATAGAGTTTTAAGACCTTTTGGGAGTATTATCACCAAACCTTACAATATTATGAAGAACTACCTTATCTCCTTTTTATAGGTGAGGACACTGATGTAGAGAGGATAAGTAATCACTCGTAAGTGGAAGAGCCAGGATTCAGACCCAGGACAGGCTGACTCCAGAGTCTCCCTCTATGTTGGCATCCCTCAACAACTGCCAGAGGTAGGTATTCTTAACCACTTTTGACAGTTGAAGAAACTGACTCTGGGAGGGTTAAACAAGTTCAAGATTTCAGATCCCAAAACCTCTACTGAACAGGTTTGAGTTTGTTTTTGTTTTTTAAACTATGACTCTCAGTTCTTATATAAAGTGGAAATGATGGTATTGTATGCTTCATATGACTGTCATAAGGATTAAATGAACTCATACATGTAAAGTACATAGTAAGTGTTCAATAAGTGTTCATTCTTGTTGTAATCATTATAATAATCCTTTGAGAAGACAGTGTAGTTTATAGGAAAGAAGCCAGAATTAATTGATACTTTATCCCCTTCCTGATTGAAGAAACTGGGCTCAGGCAGGTCAAGGAACTTCTTCAAAACTATATTTGTCACAAAGCAAAATGAGAACCAGGGTCTTGTGATAATTTTTTGATCCAGTTACCTGCAAACCACATGGACTCTTTGTTGTAACAAAGGTAATGCCTCTCTCTGGGGAAGATGGCATTCCGCAAGGAATCTGTCTCACAGAATCTTCACAAATCCTGACCAGTGGCACAGAAGGCATGTTTTCTGTTATTTTGTGGTGTCTGTGTGAGCAAATACTAGGTGGTAGAGTTAGGCAGACTTAGGTTGGTGATTGGGTTTCCTTATTTACAAGCTGTGTGACTTGTGCAAAAGACTTCACTTCCCACAGCTTGTATGTGTAACACGGTGACACTATGCCCTCTTTCTTTAAAGATTATGGAGATTAAAAGAGAGTATTAATATAAGCAGCACACCTAGTACATCTCTGTTGTTAATGAATGGGTGGTGAGAGAGATTATTCTCAGCCTGAAAACCCAGGGCAGAGATAAACCGCAGCTGTAAATTGCAGGTCTCCCAATCAGTGCCTGGACTTGGGGTGGGAGGTGAGGAGTGAGAACAGAGGGAGCTAAAAGGAAGAGAGGATTTCTAGGCTGTGATTATTAGAGCTACTCAGTCTCTCACTACTCCCTTGTCCCCCAGCTCTGCCCTCTCAGAATAAAGTCCTTCTTCAAATGAAAAGCAAGGAAGAGGTGGAAGTGACAGAAATTGAACTTCTTAAAGCCATGTCCCCGGTAAGTTAGTATTCCTTCTCTCCCCATTAAAATACAGTTTCACTTTTGAGAATTTGGTAATGTATGTTTCTTTCTGAAAATTGTCTGCCTAAGAGTTCCATCTTGGAGCCTATTTTCCGTTTCCTTCTTTCTGATGAGTGATAGGGCCAAAGGGACAGATTCAGGCAACTCAGTGCCCTCTCAGAGGTTCCTCTTCTTCCTGCTCAGTGTTTTTCATTCAAGAAATGGCCCAGTCTCACCCCTTCCCTTGTGCTCAGTCTTTTCATAGACATCTGACAAAGCAGGAGAAGAGTACTTGGAGCCATATGTGCCTGGTCCCTTAGTCCCAGTCCTGACTATCAGAGAGCTTAGTCTCACCCCTTCCCTTGTGCTCAGTCTTTTCATAGACATCTGACAAAGCAGGAGTAGAGTACTTGGAGCCATATGTGCCTGGTCCCTTAGTCCCAGTCCTGACTATCAGAGAGCTTACCGTCTGCTGGAGAAATGAAAAGGCATTAAATACTTATACAGTATAAATGCTGTAGGTGGAGAGTAGACTTACTGGGGAATAGTGGGGAAGGGCCATTCATTAGTAGCACATATGGTACCTTTGGGTGAATTAGATAAAAAGGTATCCCTTCTCTGGACTGGTGAAGCTTTGTGACAGGCCACACAATCTGGCAAGAGGAAGTCTACTTTATTTTAGCTACTTCTTGCCTCCTTAGTGAGGGATTCTTATGCAGGATAACAATCATACTGTTGAGGGGAGGAAGGGTTGGGAAGACTTCACAGAGAAAGTGATTCCTGAGTTGCATCTTAAAGAAAGTGGAGGAAATCTGTAGGCACAAGTGGGATGGGTGGTATTCTGGCCAGAGTATGCAAAAGTTTGCCCTCCCCACTTGACTGTGTAGCCATATGCATCCTAAAGTACCAGGGAATGTTCTACATCCTTTTTTCTTTCTAGGAGGAGTACCATAATCTATTAATCAGTCCCTTGTTCCATAGGTGAATTGTTGCCAATGTTTTGCTATTTAATAGAGTGTTGCAGTAATCATCCTAGTAGTTGAATTTCTGCCCTCATCTCTGATTATTTTCTTTGAATAAATTTCTAGTTTTTTATTCTTTGTGGTTTAGAGTTTCTCAAACTTACTCTACTCTAGAACATTTTAAATTTTAATATTTTTATGACCAGTAGTAGAAGCTTTAAGAGCTATAATTCATGTTCTGATTCAAATAAACTATTAAACTAGTTTCACCAGTAAATTGATTATTATAAGAAATTATCAGATTTGATTCGTAAACTTAGAAAATTAACCAAATAAAAGGTAACTTGGAGTAGTTAAATTGTTTTTACTTTCTGTCAAAGATACATAAAATAACTTATAGCAACATTATGACACCTTTTCTTAGTGCATAAAACATGCACTACCAAGGAACATGTTTCTTAGAGTATTTAAACATTTAAGACAAAAGCATTATTGTCATTTGTCAGAGGAAAATATATTTTAAGATTAACAGAGTCCATACTCTGGTTAGTAACATGGACTCTGGAACCAGACTGCTTAAGTACAGATTCTAGTTTCACTACACAAGTATAGTACATATATTGCCTGAATTTCAGATACTTAATTTCAGTTTCCTCAGTTGTAAAATGGGGATAATGATGGTCTAATTTATAGGACTTTCATGAGGATTAATGAATTAATTTAAGCATTTAAGAAAGTACCTGGCATATGGTAAGCACTATGTAAACATTAGCTATGTAAGCTACTATTGACTTACTGTTTTTTTTTTTTTTTTTTTTTTTTTTTTTTTTTTTTTTTTTTTTTGAAAATGGAACTGATGTTGAAACATAACCCACAGAAGGCTGGTTGGAACTTGCAGCCAAAACAAAATAACTGCATTTTCTATAGGATTTAACCGAGAAACAGTCTCATAACATAATATTCAAAATGTCCAGAATACAATCTAAAATTACTCATCTTACAAAAAACCAAGAAAATCTCAATTCACAGGGGAAAAGACAACAGATACTAACATCAGTATTACACAAATATTGGAATTATCTGATAAACATTTTAAAGCAGCTATTATAAAATGCTCCATCAAGTAAGATAAAACACTCTTGAAACAAAAGGAGAGACAGAAATTCTTAGCAAAGAAATAGAAAATATAAACAAGATGTGAAAAATATACCACTGGGCCGGCCTGACTTACTGTTGAAGAACTAAGCTCTTCATATGTACACACACAAACATACATACGTATATAAGTTGAAGAACTACAATATATTGTATGTAATGTATGATGCACAAGAAGACTGAACATCAGGATGCTTTTTATTTCCAATGTGTGTTAGTCCATTTTTGTTGCTTATAACACAATACCTGGAGCTGGGTAATTCATAAGAAAATGAAATGTATTGCTTACAGTTTCTGAGGCTGGGAAGTCCAAAGTCCAGGGAATACAATTGGTGAAGGCTTTTTTGGTAGTGACTTCAGTGACAGCAGGGTATCACATTGCAAAACTGTTGGAGCAGAGAGAGCAGAGATAGTGCCTCATGCACTGTCCTTTTAAAGTCATCAGAATGATGCCAATGACCACATTTTTAATCCATTCACTACAGCATGATCCTACAGTCTAATCACCTCTTCAAGGCCCCACCTTTCATTTACCATAATAGGATTCCCCACCCTCTTAACAGTCACAGTGGGGGCTAAGTTTCTAATACATAAATCTTAGGGGACACAATTCAAGCTTCAGAGAGTTTTGGAAGGGACGTTATTCAGTCTGCTACACAGTGGAATAATAATTTTAAAAATAATAATGTACACTGATTTTGAAAGGATCCTAGTTCTGGGAAAGATGGACTAAGCTCACTCCACCCTGGCTTTTCCACTGAAAGCTGCTGAAAACCGGGACAGCATGCTTGGAGCAGCAATTTATGTTCTCTAAAAAGTAGATAGTAGCAAGCAGATTGGGGAAGAAGCCAAAACTGTGATGTGTTTACTGTTGTCCCCCCAGTGTCTCCTAGTATGAGTTCGACAAACCCAAAACCTGGAAGTGGGTATTGGGTGGACAGAGCTGGAGGAGAAGTCTTCTAGTTCTGGCTCAAGGGGTAAGAAAGGAGTCTCTTAATGCTGAGAGGAGAAGAGGGGATATTATTCTTTTAAAAATTTTTCTGTTTTCTCATGCCACAGCAATGGCAGTAGGGTTCTACTGGGGTCTAACAGTCTAAGGGAGGAGAAATTTCCTCTCTGATCAGAGAAGCTATGTTCCCAAAAGGGTGGAGTAAACTCTTATTGCTTCTTTTCTGTTTCTGTCCTCTCTCTGCTTGGCCCCAGGGGTGGATACAGTCATGGGAAATGTACAGTGGACTGGAATAAATAAGCCCCAGTTATCTGGCCAGAGGTTGGAAGAAGGGAGATCCAGGGAAATGGAAAGTACTGGAGAGATCACAGAAAAGGAAAGGCTTTGTAAATCAACCACGTTAAATTGTTATGAACTCTTATTCCGAGCTGCTCATGCATCTGTCTAACCCTAAAGAGCATACCATAGTCTTTGAGAAGTGACCTGAGGGATAAACCACTGTTCAGGTTTCAGGTTGGCCGTTGGGTGCTGCACAAGCAGGACAGAGATAAATATCACTGCAAAGGCTTTGAAAATGGAACTGATGTTGAAACATAACCCACAGAAGGCTGGTTGGAACTTGCAGCCAAAACAAAATAACTGCATTTTCTATAGGATTTAACCGAGAAACAGTCTCATAACATAATATTCAAAATGTCCAGAATACAATCTAAAATTACTCATCTTACAAAAAACCAAGAAAATCTCAATTCACAGGGGAAAAGACAACAGATACTAACATCAGTATTACACAAATATTGGAATTATCTGATAAACATTTTAAAGCAGCTATTATAAAATGCTCCATCAAGTAAGATAAAACACTCTTGAAACAAAAGGAGAGACAGAAATTCTTAGCAAAGAAATAGAAAATATAAACAAGATGTGAAAAATATAACCACAATAAACTCACTGGATGGGCTTAATGGGAGAATGGAGATGATAGAGGAACAAATTAGTGAACTTGAAGATAAGTAGAAATTAATATGAACGACAAAAAAAAGGTTAAACAGAGCCTCTAGGCCTTCTGGGATAGTACAAAAATGGCTGACAGTTTAATCATTGGAGTTGCAAAAGGAGAGAGAAAGTGGAGTGTAAAAAAAAAAATTTGAAGAAACAATGGCTGAAAATTTCTCAGCTTTAGTGAAATGTATAAACCTGTAGATCCATGAAGCTCAATCAAACCCCAACATGATAAACTCCAATAAATCCCTGTCTGGAAACTTCATAATCAAACTGCTGAAAACTAAAGAAAAAGAAAAAAATTTGTAAAAGCAGCCAGAGAAAAATGATGTGTAACATATAGGACAACATTGATTTCAGTGATCAGATTTCTTATCAGAAACCACAGGAGCCAGAGGAGGTATAACAAATTTTTACAAGTACTTAAAGAAAAGAACTGTCAACTTATAATTCATGACCAATGAAAATAGCCTTCAGGAGTGAAGATAAAGTTTTTCATACTAAGGAAAACTAAGGGAACTTATTGCCAGAATTCTAAAAGAATTGCTAAAGGAAGTTCTTCAGATAGCAGTTGTACCATAAGGGAACTTGGAACATCCGGAATGAAGGAAGTTCAACAGAAATGGTAAATATTGTATGTAAATACAATAGACTGTTCCTTCGAGTTCTTTAAAATATTTTCAATGGTTGAAAACAAAACTAATAGCTTAGACTTACTGAACAGAACAGTATTTGAACACAGGTGGTCTGGATTCCGAGCCATGTCTTAACTACTGTGGTATACAGATGCTCCTCAACTTACAATGATGTTCTGATAAACATTGTTAAGTTGAAAAGTTGTCAGTCAAACCATTGTGAAGTCCACATGCTTCTTGACTTACAGTGGGGTTACATCCTGGTAAACTCATTGTAAGTCAAAAATATTGTAAGTCAAAATGTATTTAATAAATACCCTGGTAAACCCATTGTAAAGTTGAAAAATCATCTAGTCAAACCATTCTTACGTCCAGATGTTTCTTGACTTATGATGGAGTACTTACATCCCAGTAAACCCATCGTAAAGTTGAAATATCCTAAGTAAAACAATTGTACGTCAGAGACCATCTGTACTGCAATTAGATAAAATAAAATGTAAGATTAAAAATAAAATGTAAATTAAAAATAAAATGTAAGATTAAAAATAAAATGTAAGATTAAAATAAAATGTAAATTAAAATTTATTTAATTAAATAAATAAATTTTCTTTATTTAATTCTCACAGTGCTACTATGAAGTATTAAAATTATTCCCATTTTCAGATGGGAAAACTGAGGCACAGGGGAGTTAATTAACTTGGCCAAGATCACCCACCTGATTAGTACCAGAGTCTGAATGCCTTAGAGTAATGTGACCTTTGTTTTGGTTTTATTAACAACAGGTATTTATTGAAAACTCTTAATGTTGATATAAGTGAATCACAAAATAAATTGAAAATCCACCAGCAATTGTGGAGTGGATGATTGTCATCACTTGCTGGTTGGTTAGGAAATACAGATCATGCAATAATCACATCACATGATCCGTCTTGATACTTCTCAGGAGATTATCAAAAAACAACTTTTCAAATGTGTTCTTCTGTCGTAATACAAATATATTTTTTATCTCAAAAGAAAAGAATATTGCTAGGTGTTCTTTTTTTTTTTTTCTTTCATTTTTTAGGCAACTTTTAACATCTCAAGATTTCTTAGAACATATTGTGAGGACTGAAATCATGTTCGTCAGGTCAGCATCCTTCCTTGAAACTTTCCCTCACAGTCCCAGAGCTCTTTAATTTCTACATGTAGAGAAGCAATCCATCTCCTAATGTAAATAATATAATTTAGCACTTGATTATATCCTGTTTTGAATGTAGTCAACATTTTTTAATGTGAGAATGTATTCTCACTTCCATGGAATTGTAAATGTTCGAAGAGCAGAGAGTATCTCTCATTTAATCTTTTCCCCAATATGTATAGTATTGCTAGGCAGAAATGTTGTCCGGTTACTACCTGAACTGGAACATTTAGACTCTCAGTGCAATTACTTATACACAATGTTTGTATCTCAAAGTAAAAACAGCAATAACCCTTTACCCTAGAGCCACATAGGGGCATGAAAACTGATTGAGCAAGATTATTTTTTGCCATTTTAGGGTTCAGTGACATTCACAGATGTTGCCATAGACTTTTCCCAAGATGAGTGGGAATGGCTGAATTGTGCTCAGAGGAGTTTGTACAGGAAGGTGATGTTGGAGAACTACAGGAACCTTGTTTCAGTGGGTAAGAGTATCTTCTTCCTTCTCCCTCCCCATGACTCAGTAGTCTTTTGTGCCTTTATCAACATTTTCTTACAATGTCTCTCTTCTTTCAAGACCATTTGGACTGAGTTATAGCTCTTGAATACCTATGGCATGGCCAATTTTTCTATCTTTTCTTATAAATGCAGGTCTTTGCATTTCTAAACCAGATGTGATCTCCTTATTGGAGCAAGAGAAAGAGCCCTGGGTGATGAAAGGAAAGATGACAGGAGGCCTGTGCCCAGGTGAGTGCAGGATAACTAGAGATGAAGAAACTATTCTCAAGATATTTCTTCTCTTTGATATTTGTTGGAAAACATCTCTCAAGCTTCCTTCTGAATTAAACTTGTTCTAACACCAGTTTATGAATGTTCCTTCTCTTTTCCACTGGTATGACATACCACCTTTAACTTTACTGATTTCCTGTATGTAGCAAGGTCTTGAACTCTTGTTCCACTGATGTTTACCTAGTTCTACTCAAGTACCATATTGTTATGATCATCCTAGACTTTGAACATTTTTGAATTCTTTAGTCAAACGTGTTTAGTTTTTAAAAATGATTTAAATATTTTCCTTTCTTTAAAAAGGTGAGTTTATTGTGTTAAAATGCGTGATAGCTATGTTCTTCCCTCTACCTGTTGTTATTTTTCTCTTTGGTGTTTCTTTTGTTATTTATTCTTGCTTTGTTGTTTATTATGTCTGTTTTTTCTTTATTTCCCCTTGATGCCATCCCACCTCACCCCTTTAATGAGAAAGGTTTTTAGTTCTATAAATTGTAGAACTAAACTTCATGTCTTTATATATTTTAAAATCTGTACTTTAAAATTCATCATCTTGAAATTTATAAAATTGTCTTTTGATACCCATATGAAAAATGAAGAAATTAGCTCATGAATATTACCTCCTTCCTATTTGTCCATCATTTTCCTACCTATATTGTACTCACTGCAATTTTTTGCCCAGTTTGTTTTCATCAAAAATTTTATTTTCTTAGTTCCTCACCTTGCTTCAGAGGTATTTTACCAGTTTAGAAAGCTAGACGAGACTATAGATATATATTGCAAGAAAATAAGCCTCAAGCGAGGTGGTCACAGTTTACTACATGGCCTGTGTGTGGCCTTTTTCTGCTTTCAGTTCTCATAGTTTCAAGAAGAGGATTGTTGGCAGGTCACTTGTGGCCCTATGTACCTTAACAAATAAGAAATAATTAAATAAGCACCCAATTCGAGATATTAGAAAAAGAATAAAGTGAATCTAAGGAAAACCAAAATAAATTATATATATATATATATATATATATTCTAGAGATACATATAAGAATAAATGAATTAGAAAACAAATCTAATGAAGATAAATATGTGCTTTTGTTAGAAAACCAATAAAATATATAGACTATGGGCAAATGAGAGAAAACATAAAAAAGAGATAATGATAAGTAATCACAGGTGGGTAAGAACCTAAAAGAATGGTTTGAATCTATTTCTCTCAACTCTCTCTAAATAATTTGAAAACCTGTATGAAATGGATGATACTCTAGGAGAATATAAAAATGTAAATTACTGTAACTGACAGCAGAAACTTAAACAGACCAGTTACTGTTGAAAAATATAGAAAGTTGTCTATGAACTGCCTCCCCCAAATCCACAAAACCAAATAGTTTCATAAATCAATTCTATAAAACCTTTAAGGGAAAATATCACCAACGTTGTTTAAAATACTCCTAGATAGAGAATGAGAAGGAGAGCTTAAAAAAAACTTGTTTACAATGACAGCATAACATTTGATACTAATATCTACCAAAATAGCAAAAAGAAAAAGGAAATTAAGACATCTCAATTATGACTATTGGTGCAAAGTCTTAAATAAAATATCATATTGAAATAATATCATGGCCAATGAGGGTTTATTCCAGGAATGCAAGGATGGTTGCATCACCTAATCTATGAAAAACATGTACCTTTTGTGGACTTCAATAATCATTTCATGCACGTGGTTTCATTTTGGAAGTTTCCATTCTTCTAGCATTTAATAAAGGAGACATTTGCTTTCTTAATATCTTTCAGACTTGGAGTATGTGTGGGTGACCAAGGAATTATCTCCAAACCAGGATGTTTATGAAGAAAAATTATCCCAGGCAATAGTAATGGAAAGACTTACAAGCTATGACCTTGATTGTTCCACATTAGAGGAAAACTGGAAATGTGAAGGCCTGTTTGAGAGGGAGCTGGTAAGGCAGAAGGCAAATTTTAGGCAAGACACAATCACGCATATAGATACCCTTATTGAGAAAAGAGACCACTCTAACAAATATGGGATAGTTTTCCCACTGAATACATTATCTTATATAAAACAGGTTTTTCCCATTGGAAAGAGAATATATAATTTTGATACAGATACAGAAAGTTTACAAACACATTCAGTTATTAAAAAACACAAGCAAGTCTATGAAGAAAAGAAACTTTTAAAATGTAATGATTGTGAGAAAATGTTCAGCAAAATCTCAACCCTTACTCTTCATCAAAGAATTCATACCGGAGAGAAACCCTATGAATGTATTGAATGTGGGAAGGCCTTCAGCCAGAGTGCCCACCTTGCTCAACATCAGAGAATACACACAGGTGAAAAACCCTTTGAATGTACTGAATGTGGGAAAGCCTTCAGTCAGAATGCTCATCTTGTTCAACATCAGAGAGTTCATACTGGAGAAAAACCTTATCAATGTAAGCAGTGTAATAAAGCCTTCAGCCAGCTTGCACACCTTGCTCAACACCAGAGGGTTCATACTGGAGAGAAACCTTATGAATGTACTGAATGCAGTAAGGCTTTTAGTGTTTGTTCATCCCTAGCTCATCATCGAAGGATTCACACTGGGAAAAGACCCTATGAATGTATTGACTGTGGGAAAGCTTTCAGGCAGAATGCTTCTCTCATACGTCATCGGCGATATTACCATACTGGAGAGAAACCCTTTGATTGTATTGATTGTGGGAAAGCTTTCACTGATCACGTAGGACTTATTCAGCATAAGAGAATTCATACTGGAGAGAGACCTTACAAATGTAACATGTGTGGGAAGGCTTTTAGACATGGCTCATCCCTAACAGTACATCAGAGAATTCACACAGGAGAGAAACCTTATGAATGTAATATCTGTGAGAAAGCCTTTAGCCATCGTGGCTCACTTACTCTGCATCAAAGAGTTCATACTGGAGAGAAACCCTATGAATGTAAGGAGTGTGGGAAAGCTTTTCGACAGAGCTCACACCTCGCTCATCATCAGAGAATTCATACTGGAGAGAAACCTTATGAGTGCAAGGAGTGCAGTAAAACCTTCAGCCAAAATGCACACCTTGCACAGCATCAGAGAATTCATACTGGAGAGAAACCTTATGAATGCAAGGAGTGCAGCAAAACCTTCAGCCAAAATGTACACCTTGTGCAGCATCAGAAAATGCACACTGGAGAGAAACCTTATGAATGTAAAGAATGTGATAAGGCTTTTGCTCAGATTGCACACCTTGTGCAACACCAGAGAGTTCATACTGGTGAGAAACCTTATGAATGTACTGAGTGTGGGAAAGCCTTTAGCGGTGGCTCCTACCTTGTTCAACATCAGAGACTCCACACTGGCAAAAGGCCTTATGAATGTCTTGAATGTGGGAAGGCGTTCATGCAGAGGGCATCCCTTATTTGTCATCAAAGATGTCATACTGGTGAGAAACCTTATGAATGTAATGTTTGTGGGAAAGCCTTTAGCCATCGTAAATCCCTTACTCTACATCAGAGAATTCATACGCGAGAGAAACCTTATGAGTGTAAGGAATGTAGCAAAGCCTTCAGCCAGATTGCCCATCTTACACTACATAAGAGAATTCATACTGGAGAAAGTCCCTATGAATGTAAAGACTGTGGAAAAGCCTTCAGGCAGAGTGTACATCTTGCTCATCATCAGTGAATTCATACTGGAGAGTCATCCTCAATTATTCCCTCCTCCTTACTTCCATATCACCAATCCTGTAGATTGAACCTTCTGAATGTAGAATTCATCCACTTTTTCCTAGTCCGTATCCTGTCATCATAGTCCGAGATGCAACCATCTCATTTGGATTTCTGCAGTAGTGTACCTATTGTGCTTCTTGCTCCTTTCAAGAGCGTTTTAACACTTTAGTCAGTGTAATCTTTTAAAAATAAAAATATATATCTTGTTACTTTTCCATTTGAAACACTTGCATTGAAAAATAGATAATTCATTTCAAGGGTAAAGTACACAATTATTGGCATATAGTTAGTGCTAAATAAATGCTAGTCATTATTTTAGGTAAAGGTTTTCATGAACAGTCTCATTCAGCTACAAGTAAAATGAACCAGTAGGTCAAGACTAAGAAATCTACAGACTTTACCACAGACAGAAGACTCTTCACTTTCCCAGTGGGTAGGAAAGATGCACACTCAGAATGGAAAGATTTATGATGCACAAGGTAACATGGTGGCTTACCACTCCTTCTGTATAAGGACATGCAACATTACTGATGAGGAACTCTCAACTCACCTGACACTTAAAATAAGCAAATTAGAACAAAAACATTTGGCAGAATGTAGGACTAGCCAGGGGGTAGTATTAAAATTAACTAATAAGCTAGAAAAATTAATAGCCATGAAATAAACTGAAAAGTGTAGTTCAACACGTCGACCTTTGAAAAAGCAGCACAGACAATTTCTGTTGTATTATAAATTATTCTACAGCTTTTTAAAAAAATGCAGTAAAACTTCCCATCTTATTCCATGAGATTAATAAGACATACCAAAACAGAAAAACATTAACTGCAATTAGCTTATAAATGTAGATGTTAAAACTTATTTTTAAAATATTAAAGGAAGGCTAGACATTTCTCTGTATAAAAAGACTCAGTCTGGTAAAGATATTTCTCCAGAAGTTAAATGTGTGGTTTATTGATCTTATAAAAACCCCAATACACTTTTAGGTTGACAAGCTGATTATGACCATTTATGGTCAGAATTCCTGGTTATAGCAAGGCATGTAGTTTATGTTAGGAATGTAGTACTAATTTAATTAATATTATCTGAGCATTTACTAATATGCCAGATCCTGTTTTAGTTGCTGAGAATTCAGCAGTATACAAAATGGACAAAAATTTTTGCCTCATAGATCTAGTGGGAGAAGAAAAAGTAAAACTTAAATATGTACTACTCGGATGTGATAAGTATATGATATGTACAATAAAGAAATGAATATAGTAAGGTGGGGCTACCTTATGATCCCCAGAGGGGATTAGAGGCAAAGGATGAGGAAGGAACTGGAGGTACCTGTTGGACACAAAGAGCATAATGAGAATTGTCACAGTAGTCTCAAGCCAGATATTTATGACGTTTTGAGTGTTGAAGAGCAAATTGAGGGTTTAACAAGGATCATGAGAGTTTGGTTCACTCTTAAAAACAGTGATTTTAGAGGTTGGTGGAAGGGTACTTTTTTGGTAATAGCTTAATTGAGATATAATTCACATATCATACAATTCTGGGAAAGACCATCCATCCCCTAGCCTTTGTGCCTTCATCAGCAGAAGTGAGGAGGGAGCCCCAAAGTTCCACTTAAAGGGTATGATTCAGGCTTTCGGTATATTCACAGAGTTGTGCAACCATCACCACAGTCAATTTTAGAACATTTTAATTACCCTAAAAAGAAATCTCATGTTCTTTACTAGTTACCCTCACCGCTGGAGGGGTACTTTTATTGGAGCACCCAGAGCTCTTGGATTTTATCTTGATGGCTTCCTATGGCAGTGTAGAGGGCCATGTCAGGGGAGCTCTTATCCAGAGCACATAACTGCTAGAAAATGGAGCTTTTAGGCTCCCTTTTCAGTTCTGCTGATTGAATCATAGAGGCTATGGGATGGGCAGTCTTATCCAGAGCATATGGACTTTCAGTCTCCCCTTATATATGAAAAGGATTTTTTGTTGCAGTAGGGAAAAGATGGATTGATCAAATGGCATTGGGATACTGGAAAAACATAGAGCTGAAACTTGCATGCTACTGAAGGCCTATAATATTAAAGATCTAAAGGTAAAATATTAAAGTACAGGAAAAACAGAATAATATGTCTATATGTCAATACCTTGGTTTAAGACAGGCCTTAAGCATTACGTATAAAACAGGAATTGATATTAGGCTATATAAAATTTATGTGGTGGGAAACATCATAGTCAATAGACAAATGGGAAACTGAAAGAAAACGTTTGCAACAAATATAGCAAAGGATCATAATCTCTGACATTCAAGTACTGCTATAAGTCAGAAATAGTAACATCTGCAATTCAGAGAAAACTGGACAAAGCTAATGGCCAGTTCACAGAAGATGAAATAAAAGCAGTTAATGAAAGTTACCCAATATTGCTAGTAATCAAGGAAATGCAGATTAAAGTGACCATATACTTTTCCCCAAAAGATTGATTTTAAATTGTAGAAGAGTGATAATATCTAGTATTAGTGACTGTGTAGGAAACAAGACAGTTGCATTGTTTGATATATTGCTGTATGTATATACTATTTGAAACCAAAGTGTACAAAGGTAGGTAAATATATAATGGCAAAAAGAAAAAATTTTTTTTAACAATAAAGTATTAAAAACAGCCTAAGTGGGGCCGGCCCGGTGGCGCACTGGATAGTGTGCCGCTTGGGAAGCGCGGCGGCGCTCCCGCCCGAGGGTTCGGATCCCACATATGGACCGGTTCCCGCTCACTGGCTGAGCGAGGCGTGGGGGTAACACTGAGGGTTGTGATCCCATTGCCGGTCCCCGGTCTGGTGCGGGGGCGACACTGAGGGTTGCGATCCATTGCCGGACACGGAAAAAAGACAAAAAAAGACAAAAAAACAAAACAAAACAAACAAAAAAAAACAGCCTAAGTGCCCATCAATTAGTGTAATGAATAAATTATGTATTCATTTAATAGAATTTATGCAGCAATTGAAAAAATAAATATAAATGTGTATATAGCCATAGAAAGACAGCTGTGCTATACTAAGTGAAAAAAACTGCAGACCTGTATTGTAGTGTAAACTCATAATTGTAATATCAAAAATGAAAATTAAAATATATATTATAGTAGGCATCTGTTTTTCTCTGCTCAGGTTTGCCTCCTTTTTAAATCTTTACTATCTCATCCTCTTTTTTGAGTAACTGGCCATACCCTATCATATGGTTCTGATGGACCTGGCCAATCAGATTATCTCTGGAGTTTGAAAGGCAGTTGGATCTGTGTCATCCAGTGGCAGCTCCTTAAAGGATGATGCAAGTGTTTTTGTGGTTGTGATCTTTGGAGCCATCTTGGTTTTTGTGCTTTCTCAGAATATAATTCCTCAAACTGCCTGTTATCCTTCCAATACTTCATTTTTGGCTTCTATTGATCAGTTGCTTGCAATGAGAAAAACTTAACCACTATAGAGTTTAGTATGAAGATTACATAATAGGCAGTAGAATCTTTGGAAAATCTGAGGTATTGGGTTTGGTTTGGGGGTTATATGGGACAAGTAACTTGTTTATTTTCTAGCCTAGGGAAGTAACAACTCATGGTGCCCTGTAGGCAAACACCCAATTGAATTAGTTGTAATCACCTGGGATGAATTGAGGTCTAGGGTCCTGGATAAAGGCAATTTAAAGAGGAAGAAGGTCCAAAGCGTGTAATATGATGCTGGTAACTAACAGCTTTGGATAATTTAAAGCTCAGCTCTTGAACTTCTAGACTGAAAGCACACACACACACAAAAGTCAATTCAACTAAGCAATTTTGTATATCACTGAAAGATGTCTTATACTGTTTGAAGTCATAGGGTTAAGATTGCTCAAAACCAAATTCAGAGACTACTTTTATGCATTGCTAAAGTGGGATGCTAGTTAAATTCCATACTTTATTTTAGAGTGACTGTTGAGGACTGAATTGTGTTCTCCCAAAATTCATATGTTGAAGCCCTAAACCCCAAAGTGACTGTGTGTGGACATTGGGCTAATTAAGGAGGCAATTAAGGTTAAATGAAGTCATAAGGGCAGGGCCCTGATCTAATAAGACTGTTGTCCTTATAAGAGGAAGAGACACCAGAGCTTTGTCTCCACATGTGTACAGAGGAAAGGCCATGTGAGGACACAATGAGAAGGCTGCCATCTGCAAGCCAGAAAGAGAGGCCTCACCAGGAACCAATCCTGCTAGCACCTTGATCTTTGACTCCTACTTTCTAGAACCGTGAGAAGATAAATTTCCATTGTTAAAGCTACCTAGTCTGTGGTATCTCATTAGTGCAGCCCAAGCTGACTAGTACAGTTACCATATAATTTATTGTCAAAACTGGGACATTTTTGAGAATGAAAGGGGTAGTACCTAACTGCACAAGGCTCTTGACAACAGGTATTCAGCGACTGTCCTTGGCAGAGTGGGGTATATGGTCAAACTTCTTGTGTACCAGGATATTGGGTAGGAAAAAATGTGGTTCTAACTATTGGAAAGGTGATATCTCAGAGGATCCAAAGGGTTAGAATATCCTAAACTTGCAAGTCCTTGTGATACACCACCTATTAACATTTGTTTCTTCAGATTCATATACCTTCCCTGTAAAGAAAACTAACAGTTCATTTTATACTGCCACTCCATTGCTGTTTGTGCTAAACAACAGACTGAATTTAATATGACCAAAAAACTAAATGCAAAATCAAAATAGGGCAAAGCATAACTATGTGTTGGAAGAATTTATAGGAGTTAGATTATTAACTAAAATCTGGGACATTTGTGGAAGTGAAATTTGAGGAGGCTGAATATATTGGCAAAGTGGCTTGAGTAGCCTGCCATGGTTCTAAGAATTTGCTGAACTAACCAATGTACCAAATGTTGGCCAATAATAAGTTGCATTATAAGGCCAAAAATCCCTTGAAATAATGTAGAATATGTTGTTCAAAGACTTCAAAAAAGAAATGCTGTATTGGTTCTTGTGTTGCAACACTATGTCTCCTGACAGAAGTCCAGAGTCCATTCATCCTTCCCCGTTTCTCTCATAGTTTAAAAAACCATTATACTGGCTCTCTGGTAGGTGCGGAATGCTCCCAAAAGACTGTAATTGAAGGATCATCTCTGACTGAAAGACTATAATTGAAAGGGGAATGGTGGAATCCAAACTGGCTGAACCCAAGTGGCAGCAGTTATATCACTAAGGACAAAATAGAAG